TTTCTCACCAGCTTTATGTAAACTGTCTTTTCCTTTCCTTCTCAACTTTCCCTGGGTGAGCTTCCCCATCCCCAGTTTCCCTGACCACTTGTGTACCCATGGTAATCCCTCACCTTGACCTTTCTCTCTGGAAAGACATCCTACCATCCACTACAGTTTCTCTTGATTAACAGATGTAAGTCAAAGTCCACAGTCTTGAAATTAACTCATCACATTCCCCACCCCTCTCGCTCCATCAGACCCCATGTTCTGCTCAGTGCTCACCCTGAGAAGTTTGGCATTGTTTCTGGCTTTTTCCTCCTGACAAAGCAAGCATTCAGTGTTTGCAGAATGAATTACTGAATGAATGAGTCCCATCATGAATCACACTTCTTCATCAGCCTCTTTCTTTTCATATTCAAACAACTTTACATAAAAGAAACTCAGAATCCCTTCACCTTAAAGCAGCAGCAATCATTTCTCTGAAACCTCCTTTCATCTTACCACAAAGAGACCACATTTTTACAAAGTGTATTCAATGTAGAAGGCTTCTTTATACTCTGCTTTTAAATCTTAACATGTCATATATTACAGTCTGCCTGATAATAATTTTCATAACTTTTAATGACTGAAGATTAGTCTATAACATTGCTATATTAAGCTTATTTAGCCAGCTCCAGATTTTAAATATTTGGGTTGGCTCCAGGTTTTTACTGCTCATTCCTATATTCATTTAACAAAGTAAATTACCATTCTCTCTTGTGTGCAAATGAAACTTCCCTGGAGGGAGGGGTGTTGGGTTGTTGCAGGTCAGGAGTGGGAAGGAGACTTTTCACTGAATTCCCTACAGTCCCTTTTGAATTTTAAATCATGTGACTATACTAACTATTCAAAGCAGATACATCAAAAGCTTACCAAGGGCATTGCACTGGAATCTGGGTGTAGCGATGGGGTCTACACTCCCAAACTAACACCCCACCCCCAAATAAGAATAGTGTACCTTGGGAACCTACAGGAGAGAGCAGGGCAGAGTTTCAAGGAGTGACATTTTTACTACACCTTGATAGGTGAGTAGGAGCTAGGGGGTAAGATGCCACTGTGGCCAAAGGTCCAGAATAGGAAAGGGCACTTCCTGATTGGGGAAAGAGACAGTCTCTTGTGTGGTGTGAAAGTGAGAAGAGATAAGGCTTTCAAGGAGAGCAGAGAGCAGTGTGGAAAGGGCTCAGGATGCCAGCTTCTGGAGTTCAAACTTGATACCAGAGACAATGGGAACCTTTGGAGGGGTTGAAACGGGGCCCATGGTAATATGGGAAGGGCTTTCTTCGACAGCTGTCCTCTGGCAGAATCCTAGAGCTCAAAGGGAGAGCTGTGGGAGCAGCCTGCTGAAGTCCAGGAGGCAGTGACAAGGCCTATCCTGGTTTGCCTAAGACTGTCCCGGTTTTAGCAATGAAAAACTTGTGTTTGGCAACTCCTTAGCCCCAAGCAAACACCCATGCTGTTCACACTAGCCTGAACCAAGACTCCAGATGCTGCTGATCCCCAGGGGGCTACCTGCCCCGAGAAGTGATCCAGTGACCTCCAGGGGATTTTGAAAGACCCTCCCCTCCATTCTGTCCTACCTGCCACAGCCCCTCCTCGACTCATCCATCCTGGATCTACTTTTACTTGATTCTAGACCCGCTGACCTCTAGACAAATGGAGAGATCTCTCTGTAAGAAAAACATCCCTACTTATCAGTTTCCAGCCTTCTCCACTTCCCTCCATGAACCTGGGTTCTTGTCAAACTAAGCTAGTCCCTGTGCCAAAGCAGACCTCCAGACTTCTGTGCCTTCTGGGCCATCATAGCAAAAGTCAAGTCCCGTGCTTCCCTAAAGGTTGGAGCCCACTACAAATGGGTGATGGAGGTGGGAGGGGGAAAGAGAAGGAGGGGCCCAAGTGGAACATGGTAGAGGATTGTTGGGGCACTGGTAGTGGGCAAGATGTGGAAATACACATTTGTAGAAGTTTAAATCTATAACCCAAGAGCAGATACAATGACATAAACCTATTTTTCCTCAATAAACATAATTTGGGGGAAAAATATACCACCTCCCCACCTCAACTCCGCTACCACTACCCCCCTACACACACACACACACACACACACACACACACACACACTCACACACACACTCACACAAAAACACACTTACACATGGGCATGTGCATCAACCTAGAGAAATACCAGGCTTACAGCAGGTCTCAGTAAAAATTTAGGGAATGAAGGGACTATGTGTGTACCTTACATCTATGGCACCTAGAATTAAATGGTTTCCCCATAAGTGTTTTTAATTGAGCTGAAAACCCAATGCCTATCCAAATAAGGGTATATAAGAAAGAGAAAGATCAGAAGCAGACACATTATGGCAAAACCTCAGTTATCCCAAGATTTCTAGAAAAGGAGTCATTCTGAAGACTGAGGGTGAACCTTTGACTGCAAGAAGAGTCCTGAGGCTGCTTCCACCATTCCTTCTCAGCAACCCACTTCACTTTTCCTTGTTTTTCTGTTACTCCTTCAAAGCTTCTTAACATCTTCTGCTTTGGCCAATTAATTGCAGTATTTCCTGGACTGCCCATCCATGCCTAGCCCATTTCTCCTCACCGCAGCACCCCCTCTTCTGTGAAGCCTTCCATGATCTCCCCAGGGGTGGGTGCTTCTCTCCCTACTCACCCTCCCCATACCCCACACAGGTGTCTGTGATTATGTCTACTTCACACTCTAGACTGTGAGTTCCTTGAGGTTGAGACTCATGTCAGCCTTAAATGTGAATGAAATTGGCAGGCCTGTGGTGCTCCTTGGCCCCCTTTCCTTGGGCACTGCTTACTCTGAAGCGGCTAGACTTATGCTTGTTGATGTTGCATTGCAGTTGGGAAATCATGAGTGCTGGCTGTTCAGAGTTTATCTCTGGCCTACTTCTCTTCTACTTGCTCTTTCTACATTCCCCAGTGTTTGTGTTACACTTGTCCATTCAGCTCAAGAGAGCTCCAGCTCAGACAGCAGGCACTGTTTTGGGGAGGAGGGGGTGACCAATCAAGATCTTTGCCCAGTTCATCCTGCTACAGGAGCAGGGGAGTAGCCCTCCTTTATCTGCATTTATTTGAGTGGCCTGAGTCGGATGTGTGGGAGACAGAAGCGGATATCTCTTTGTCCTTACCTTACCCCTGGCACCCTGTGTGACCTCAAGTCCTTTCTAAACAGCTTCTATTTATCTACTGAAAGTGAAGGAGGGACTACTTACCAGCCTTGGGGCTCTCAGTTCTGTAAAACTGGTCTGTCCTCAGAGCTCCAGCCTTCTCCACATCTGTGGTCCCCTAAATGAGCCAGACCTGCCTCTCCTGCTTCTCTCCCTCCTCCCCTGAAAATTCTGAGTATTTCACCCTGAATGTGGCCAAGTAATGCCAAGGAGCTTGACAGCCTTGGCCAGCCAGGGGAAGAAAAGGAAAGGAAAGGGGAGAGAGGGAGTAGCCTATCAGGCGGCCAGCGAGGGTACATTGGGAGCAAAAGCACGTCTCCGCAACATACCAAGGAAGTTCAACTCTGAAGTTGAACTCTAAGTTCAACTCTGAAGAGTTATTTTGGTCTTCTCATCAAGAGGCCCAATCCCAAGTGGGGGGCAGGGAAGAAAACCAAGTTCTGCTAATCTCCCCAGAAAAGGCCAAGGAATCAATATTTCCTAGTTCTTGTAGGACACTTGGTACCATTTTATATTGGATTTTCCTAGCAGCCCTCTGTATAACATCCAGAACATTTTTGAGCACCTTCTATATTCAAGAACTTATGCTGAGCATACTGGCGTTTTTCTTTAGAACACATCACAAATTCAAGTATTTAGAAATCTTTGGTGACATTTTCCCCTTGTTTAATGTTTGTCTCCTCCATGAGACTGTAAGTTCCAGGCAGAAACCATGTCTTTCTTCTTCCCCACTGAATCCTCAGCACCTACAACAGTGTTTGGCAAATAGTAAATGCTAAATGCACAGTTACAGAAGACATGGATCCAAAAGTCTGGAACCTGCAGACAATCTTTAATTTTGCGAAGTTTGGTGTGAACATATTAGTAGACATTCAGTAGACATTCAATGAATTAAACAAATAATATTAACAAAAAAGACTTATACAGGGCCAGCTGTATAAGCACTGGCCCTGTGCTAAGCACTTTACACTCATTCACTCATTTAATCCTCAGACCAACCCTATGAATTAAGTACTATTATCATCCCATTTTGTAGATAGGGAAACCCATGGGGTTCAGCAATTTGTGGCAGGACTGAGATCTGAACTCCAGCTATCTGACTCTAAAAGTCCCATCCCTAACCACTATAATGCCTTCCAACAATGAATGCCCAAGTTGAGATCTAGAGAGATGCAGCAATTGCCAAAGGTGTCATGGGAAGAACATGGTGGAACTGGGACTGGAATCTGGGTCTGCTCTCTGTGCAATGCCTCTCCCACTCTGCTACACAGTATCTGGCCACTGATACAGAGACCCCGGCAATAGAGGGAAAAGGAGGGATATGCAGGAAAAAGCTCTAGTATATGAGGTGGTTCTCAGCAAAAAACAGGAGGAGCCAAAGAGCAACCACTAGAACAGAAACAACCATGGGGGCCATGCTTGCAGGGGAAGGTAGCTTTTCAGAGTTCTAAGCATTCTCTTTGCCTGCACTAATTCATCAGGGATTTCCACACACACAACTAGAGTCACCCCAAGGCCATTTATGCCTCATTGCAGTAAGGCATCCATGGAGAAAGGATGCATACTAAGGAGACTGGATGGTCTGATCTGAAACCTGATGTGTGTGTAGGAAGTTGGGGTGGGGCAAAGAGCAGGAAAGATTAGAGGAAAGGTTAGCTGAAGTCAAAAAACTCCAGCAGTGAAGAGTCAGTGATAAGTGATTAAAGCAAAGCACCTATAATCAGCTCAGCTTTAGAGGTGCTGGCCTTCTGTTTGGGCTTCTTGCCACTTAGGAACAGCACCATGGCCATGGCCTTCTTCTCCCGATTGGATCTTCATGAGGGCCTCCGCACCTTCTCTGTTATGCATTGGATCCCATTCTATATAATTTTAGGTGAGTGAAACCTAGGGGCTGGAAAGCACAGGGGAATAGTCCAAGAAAGAGGCCAATATAGAGGGCTCAGAAGAGATGGTTGGTCCCCTCCCTCTGGGAGGGTACTGTGCTTCCCCCCTGGAAGAGATGGCTACACTTGATTTCTTCCCTCCCAACTGAGAGGTACTCTCAGAGTAAGACCATGAGTGAGCCTGTGACTCTTCTGGTTTAAAGATCACCTCGGCCTTCTCAGGAATCCCGCTCTGAACTAACTGAAGGGTCATATTCAGGGAGGGGGGGCAGAGGTGGTGGTGGCTTGCAGAGTTGGTGTTACTAGGTAGGTGGGAGGTGATTTTCCAGGGTTGACTATAGTGAGAAAATTCTGGAAAATCTGAGGAATGCCTAAGTGACTCAATAGACAGAATTTTGAGAAAGGTCCAGCTGTTCAGTGGACTTGATGAGATAATCATCATTGCTGGGTAAATGGGCTTAGTCCTTTCTTTTTACTCACCTGAAATTGAAATGACAATGGTAGGCAACAAACCACAGACATGTTTGCAGCACCTCTGGATTTGTCAGTGATGGATATCACAGAGATCTTCACTTCCTGTGCTAATAGTTGCAGGCACCTCAAAATTTCATTTACACTTTTAACTATTCAAAATTCTAGTAGTTATTGGAACTGAACTTAGATTTGGTAATTTGCTGCATAAATCAAGAAGCATGTTACTATATCACATTTTAATAATATTCTGTTTTAATACGAGTTTTCTTTGTAAGTCTGTGTATTTTATTTTAAGTTTCAGTGGTTAGCTGGGAAAATAAGGGGCACGTGAATGTCCCAGGAGACTTGGTATCATTGTATAGCCACCATTTCAAGTCTGGATCCCAGAAAGAGTAGGACAATGTGATGTAGAGAGAGCAGATGGTCAAGACAGGAAGAGCTGGGACCTCCCTGGTGGCCTAAGTGCCTCCCTGGTGGTTAAGTCTCAGTGGTACTACCACCACGGCCTGGGCCTCCCTGGGGGTGCAAGGGGTTAAGATGCAACCGATGAAGCTGTCTGCAGCCACTGCAGCACGAGTTCAATTCCTGCCCAGGATGCTGCCCACATGGCGCAGCAGACCTTTCCTGATTCGCCCGCTTCTCCCCTCAGCAGTCTATTCATTCAATTGCCTGCTCTGTTCCCCACTCTGTCTCTGGTGAATCCTCTCACCCCCTGCACCTCGGGCCTACACCCCAGTTCTTGTATGCATAAATAAATTAAAAAAAAATATTTCCCAAAAAAAGAGAGCTGTGTGACTTGATGTTTTCAGGAGTGGGGTCTGCCCCACCCCAGAAAGCCTGTGTGTAGTATTGGAACACAGTTACCCAGATTGTGCTGACTCTCCTGAAACATTTTCTCAATAAAATGTTCTCATTTTTCTCCCAGAAAATGAATTTTTTCTCACATTTTTTCTTCCTTTTTTTCCTTTCACCAAGGACACTGCCTCAGACAGGGATAGTGTAGAGGGAATATCCAACACTGACTTGTAAGGGTCCAGGAAGGCAATGATTTACCTCCTAGTAATGCACCTCCCACCAATCTTAACGGTTTCCAGTGGAGAGGGATATTAGGGATGAGTGGCATTTATGTGCCTTAACTGAAAATACATGTGAATAAACATAAATGTTTTCTTTTGCTTGCATTTTTTCAAGTTTTTAGAAATTTTGGTAAAATGCATATAATGTGAAATCTAACATGGTAACCATTTTTAAGTGTACAGTTCAGTGGCAGTAATTACATTCATGTTGCTGTGCAACCATCAGCATCATCATCCAACTCCAGAAATTTCTCATTTTCCCAAACTGAAACTCTGCACCCATTAAACAGTAACTCCCCAATTTCCCTCTGCTTCCATCTCTGGCATCCACCTTTCTACGTCTATCTCTGTGAATTTGACTCCTCCGGCTACTTCATATAAGTGGAATTATATACTATTTGTCCTTTTGTAACTAGTTTATTTCACTTAACAGAGTGTCTTTAAGAGTCATTTCTATCATATGGGACAGGATTAACTTATTTTAAGGATAAACAAAATTCCATTATATAAATATACCACATTTTGTTCCTCCATTCACCTGCTGATGGACAGGGGTTCCACCTCTTGGCCATTGTGAATTTTACTGCTATGAATGTGGGTATTTAAATATCTCTTTGAAGCCCTGCTTTTAATCCTTTTGGATATATAGCCAGAACGATTACTGAATCATATGGTAATTCCTTGTTTTTTTTTTTTTTTTTTTTGAGGAATTTTCAAGATCTTTTCCATAGTGGCTGGACCATTTTACATTTCCACCAAATGTGCACAAAAATTTCAATTTCTCCACATCTTCACCAACACTTCCTTATTTTCTGTTTTTCTTTTTATAGAAGTTATCCTAATGTGTGTGAGATGACATGTCACTGTGGCTTTGACTTTCATTTCTCTAGTGATTAGTGGTATTGAGTATCTTTCAATAGGCTTCTGGCCTTTTCAGGCTTCTTGACTTTTCAGATTATCTTCAGCATTCCCTTTGTTGTCCTCTACTAGTTTAGCTATTATACTCACAGTTTCTTTTTTTATGTGATTATGCTAGAAACTGTGATATAAATCCTCAATCTTGAAGGTCATTGAGGTAGATATAGCATCTAATGGCGAGTGTTGTCCACAGAGGTGCTTAAGACATTCAAACCTGTTCAGCGGTTAAAAAGCAAATACTATGTATAACACATTGGCTGTCCTTGGTGAGACTACAACAGTGAGTCAACTAGAAGCCAATTACTATGTAGTTACAGAGATGAACTAATCATTCATTCCATCATTGTACCCATTTTATGTCTGAGTGCTGGACGTACACTCAAGTCACTATAATGAAAGACTGACTGTGGTACAGGGAAGTGATGTTAAGGTGTCAGAGAAAGTAAATATTACATCAAATTGAGGGGATCAGGGAAGGTGTAAAAGGGAAGTATTATTAAGCAATGGGTTCACTGCCCAATGTGTGCAGAAACCAGTACTATGACATTAACTTTTGAGAAAAGAAAGCTTTATTGCAAAATCGATAAGAAAAAAGGCAGGAGAGACACATCAAATATTTGCTCCCCCTGCCTCAAGTGGGCAGGTACTTTTATAGAAGAGGAAAAAAGAAGGAATAAAAGCAGGAATGAGGAAGTTGCAAGACTTGTCTCATCATAAAGTGGAGAATTGTGGACAGGATTTTTCAGATAACTGGATTTTTGGGATTTTTGCTGATGTCCACCTTACCTCTAAATGTAGTCTGAGTAGCCCCCCTTTTTCTGTTTTGTTTGGTTCCATCAGAGGTTTCTTCATTCTGGCTGGTTTGGGGATCAGCTTAAGGTTAATTGCATTTGCGCATACTCAGGTTGTGTCATTTGTAGAAAAGTGTCAAGATCTGCTGCATCTGTGAAAACAAGCCTTAAAGGAGAACTTAGTTAAGGTTTTTGTTTTTGTTTTTGTTTTGCCTAGGGATCTGAGAACAAATTGATGTTGGTTTCAGTCCACCCTTGAGTGTGTACAATCTTCAATCTTGATTAGGTGGTGGCAATGGCCACCTTGATTATTTCTTGATGATTAAGGGTGTAGGTCTGGGTTTGAGGAGTAGAATTTTTCTACATTTAATTATAAATACTCATGGCTTCTGGGTAGACTACATACATGTTGAGTGATTATGTAACTAGGGGGCGATGACTAAAGGCATCATTTCAAACAAGCTAGGATAACCTTAAATATTAAACAGATTCCTAACCCCAGGACTAAAAGAAGCATTAAGAGCTATAACCTGGACCTGAATAAGGTACCTATCTCCACAGGGAGACAGCTAAAGAGATCATCATAGCTCTCCCTCCACTGGGGCTGCAGTTGATCCTCAAAATGTTGTTTTTTTTTTTCCAAATCTTATGGCGTATCCAGTCCTCAGGACTTACACAGTAAGGAGGAACATCTTTAGGAAACATAAGATTACTAAAAGCATATTAATTGATAATAGACAAGGTGGTACTCAAAGATTGTATACCTCTTAAGTTACAGTACCAATATCTCCTTGCTGTCTTTCTCACTTGTATTGTAAAATAAGGGTTTTTCTCACTGGTAAATGAGCTTTTCCTTAATTTATGAAATACATACTAATAAAGTTCTTTAAAAAGAAAAAAAAAACAAAGTTTATGTATCTCTTGCAGTATCCAATTTCTTTACATTGTGATCAGTTTTAAGGTTATCATAAAATTTAGTCTTAAGGAAGGGACCTGCTTTTAGGGGCAACCCATACCTACAACAGAGCAACTGAAATTTTTATTCCCGGCTAGATTGGTCTTCTAGCAGATTTTTGCTCTCCTATAGTACTGCCTTTGAAAATGTGAGCAGTCGCACAATTTAGAAATTAAGTTGTTCGATTATTTTGGATTATCATTCTCTCTGTCGTGAGAATAGATAAGACCAATTAAATAGTTGTCTCCAACTTCTGGAAGCAGTCCTGTGGATGGGTCCCAAAGTTAAGTTATTGTGCAAACAGTAACAAAATACATTTTGGTAGAAACAAAAGAAAAACAAAAGGTTAAATACTGAAGTAGGGCCTCCCAGGTGGCGCAGCAGGTTGAGCACAGCACTGTGAAGCTGTCCGCGGCCTCTGCAGTGCGGGTTCGATTCACGGCCCGCCAGGGAGAAACCCACATGGCGAGGCAGACCTTTTCTGTCTGGCCCACTGCTCCCCTCAGCAGTGCATTCGTTTCATCTGCCTGTTTTTCTCCCCGCTCTGTCTCTGGTGAATCCTCTCACCCTCCAGCCCCTCTGGCCTGTACCTCAGATCTTATTTAAATAAATAAATCTTACAAAAAAAAAAAAAAAAGATTGAAGCAAACCAAAAGTTCATTGGGGGAATAGCAAAGGATTTTTAGATGCCAGATTCAAAGCATCTTCAGATGACAGGCTTTTCTGGCTTGCAGTGTCTCCAATGTCATCAGCTATTCAGAAAATAGCAATTATGC